CTCAAAGTGCACCAGATTGATGCTTTTAACTTCAATATTTAAAAATCTTCCCAGGGGAGCTTGCCCCCTGACCCCCCTATGTGAGGTCCACACACCACCTATAAAAATAACACTTTACCCCTGCTTACACCTATATGCCGTGAGCTGATTATCGAGCCTTCATTGTAACAGTCGCGGGTACACTGTGTGTGTGTGTGTGGGGATTGTTGCAGTAGAACATTCCACTGTAGCGACCAGTACATTAATGGGAAACCCTAAATGTTTGAGCACCCTCTATGAAACGTCAAGCTACCCCACAGCACCCCCAAAATAGAATCTCTGGCGCCGCCACTGAGCCTGACTATTTGTGTTGGGGGGGCCCGACTTTTTTTTTTCTCCAAAGGGGGGGCCTGACAGAAAAAGTTTGAGAACCACTGCTGTAGGATGTGTGTGTGCTGTGAGCGTGAGGCGTACTTTGATATCCTCCAGTTTCTGCCTCTGGAAGTCTGTGATGCTCTCCTCCAGCTGTCTGATGCTGCGCTGGGCATTGTTCGACGCCTTCTGAGCATTTACTTCTGCCTGTCAATTAACACACAATACAGCATACAGAGCTTTACCTCAGGGTCAGTATGAACTACTAAAGGGTCAGGAAGGTGGAGATAGTCATGAGATAATGATAAAACCATGTACGTTACCTGAGACTGAAGGGGATTGTCAAGAAAATATTATAAGTGTAGTTGAATTCTTTAAAATCTTTCTTGAAAACTCAGTCAGACACATAGCATTTTGTGGAAACTGTGACGCTGTCAGATGTGTGAAGGATACGATGCTCTGTCGATCTGCTGGGTTCCGCAGTCGGATTTTCTCCAGTTTCTGGATCTCCTTCAGCTCTCTGTTCAGATCCGTGCTGAACTTCTTCAGATCTGCCTGAATAGACACACTGTCAGCTCACACAAAACTGTCTTGATGTTGTGTGTAGATGTGTTTCACTGTACTCACAAGACAAGACAAAAGACAGCAGTAGTTGTTTACATACAATGATGCAAGTATTCTTATCTGAGAATATAAACCTTGAATTGTATTTGAGGACTAGAACATTATGCATTTTGTAAATCATATTCCAATTGAAAAGAGAGACTACCCAGGTTTTTTTGTATTTGTTCCCTACCTGTTATTAGGTAATAAAAACTATGCAAAACTCAGAACATTGATTCCCAGAAGCAAAGCTTATTGGAAAGAGGGAATTCAATTCAGTCTGTCATTAGTTTAATTACAGAAATATCTCCATTGGAAGCACATATGTTACCAAACTCACCCTTTTATTCTTAACTACTTCTCCATAGGCTTTTAGAGGAGCGACAACTCTTGTCTCCAGTCTCTCAACCTGCAACAATAAAGCGCTCATCGTTACATCAACTAATTCCTTTTTTGCAGAAGATATGGAGCACATAACATAACCCCAGCGTCTCCTACCTGAGCCTGCCTGTAGTCCTGCACCATGGCCAGGTCCTCGGCCAGGTTCTTCAGGCCGCTCTGCAGCTCGGGGTCCTCTCTGCTGGAGAATTCAAAGAGCTGAGCCACCAGCAGGTCGGCCTTGTCTCTGAGTCTGGCCGTCTTCCTGGTGTAGGAGGCCAGCAGGGAGCAGATCTCCCCCAGGTACTTCTCTGCATCCTTCACTGCCTGCTCCATGCTCTTCACCTGGACATCCCTGCCAGTAGGATATCTATTATTGTAAAATATGGGGAATAAACTAGCTATTAGTTATTGTCTCTGTGGATAATGTGAAGGATAACAGAACTGACTCCTACCTGGAGAAGAGGGTGGTCATATTTGCTCGGTTCCTGCAGCTGCTGTGCTTTGTTGACTCGGCTGATTCTCACCTTTACCAGGTAACAGAAGACAGTTGCCATGGAAACACTTACAACAGATGGTGTGCAACAGCTGAAGTGAGGGTGTAATTGCTGCTTTTCGCCACACGAGGGCAGCAGAGCATTATTATCGCCATTTTACAGGGAGGAAGAACTGAGGAAGAGTCTTTCTGTCTCTTCTACAGAGTTCTTACACCTTTTCCAAAGTCAAATTCAAGCACTTTTTCAAGGTACATTTCAAGCTTATGAAGCATCTTACAGCTGTTGTAAATTACATTTTTATATACACATAGCCTACTTATCCTCAAATGATTATTTCCCTACCTCACATTAAATCAGATGTTCTTTATGCTATAAACAACCAAATGTGTGTTTTGTGATAGCATTCTACATGAGGAATAAAAATGTAAGAGAAAACAAAGTTTAATATTTCAAAATGAGTGACCCATCTGTACGTAGACTGGGCATCCCATATAACCTGGCTGAGCCAATACACAACAATCAGCCAAATAACTTTTCAATACATTCTCTATTAACATGTTTGAGGTCCTTAGGTTGGCAGTAAACATAAGGCCTACAGTATATGCACACATATACTGTATAAACTCAAATGTGAATTTTCCTTCACATTGAATCAGCAATCAGAAATTATGCAAATCAAATCAACTTTCAATGAGTCTTTTAGCTCCTTGAGTTGAAAAAGCAAACCAAAAACCTGCACAGAACACTGCACTGAATCATTCAAGGTAAGGCTAAACAGCGTACGGCCTGTTAGGGAGTGTCTTTCAGTTCCTTGAGTTGGTCCGTTAGCTGTCTCTCCAAAGTCTCCAGATGTCTTTACTTTTCCTTAGCAGCTCTTCCAAGGCCATTGGGCTTGGAGATGAAGCTTAGTTTTCTTTGTATGCTACTGTGTACTTCTTCTACTCCACAACAGTTCAGATGTACATGGTGTACTTCTACTCCACTACATGTATTTAATACCTTCAGTTCCTTTACAGATCTGGATGAATGATGTGAAATATAATCAAGTGTTAAATCAGACTTTAGTTCCACCTGGAGTAAATCCACCAGCTACCCTGCAGTATACAAAGTCATTAAAACTAGCTGCACCTTTACCAGCTTTGAGAACACTTTCATGATCAATCATTATAAAACATATCATATATATTATTCTGAAATGGAGCCTCAGT